TTATAATTCTCCAAGTTTTTTTATTCCATTCGGATCAAAATTTATGACCGAGGGGAGAATTGTCCTTCAAAATCCTTCACAAATCGAAAGATTACAAAAATTTCATGTCTCAGTTAATTCCCCCCTCCACCCCCTGTCTGCCCAGCTATGTTCGCCATTGCAATTGATTGTGGAAAGAGAAAGAGAACTCATAATAAACGAAAAAACAAACGATCCTAATATACTTGTGTGCTCAAAAATCAATCAGGGTAATTCATCACTGGTTTATGCGAACAATATCGTCATTGGTAATGTCGTTAGATACGTAGGTTGCTCCATAATTTTTTTTAAAATGGTACTTATAGTGTTGCCCGATGTAAACCATTGTCATATTCGTAAAGTTTGATGTTTTGGTATGTATTCGTGCCCTGAACCTTTTGTCGTACGAACGCTATTCGTATTGTTTACAGTGACTGGTAAACTGCGACTCAACAAAAAAATGAATTTTACACGTGAAGATTTTCGTAAAATGATTTACTACGATTTTCGAAGTAAATTATCTCAACAACAGTGTTTCGATCGACTTCATTTGGCCTTTGGCAATGAAGCACCAACCCTTCAGACAATTTATAACTGGTACCGAGAATTCCGTTGCGGTCGTAGTTCGCTCAAAGACGAGTTTCATACAGGTCGTCCAAAATCGGCTGTTGTGCCACAAAACATCGATGCTGTCAGAAAACTGATTATGGAAGATCGTCATGTGACCTACCGTGAGATTGAGGCATCTTTGGGCATTTCATCCCACAGCATACATACAATTTTGCATGAACATTTAGCCGTAAAAAAGATTTGCTCTCGTTGGATCCCACATAAATTGACCGATGAACAAAAAATGGCTCGTGTGAGTTGGTGTAAAGAAATGCTCAAGAAATTCAATCGTGGTGCTTCAAAAGACGTTAATAAAATCGTCACTGGTGACGAATCGTGGATATATGCCTATGAGCCCGAAACGAAACAGCAGTCGACTGTATGGGTCTTCCAAAATGAAGATAACCCAACGAAAGTTGTTCGAGCAAGAAGCACTTCGAAGCGAATGGTCGCCTGTTTTTTCGGGAGAAGTGGTCATGTGGCAACCGTTCCACTAGAGGATCGTAAGACCGTCAATTCTGATTGGTATACCACCATTTGTTTGCCCGAAGTGTTTGGTGAAATAAGAAAAAACAACCACCGTCGCAAAATAATTCTTCATCACGATAATGCGAGCTCTCACACATCTTTTCAAACTACTCGATTTTTGACCGGTCAAAACATCGAACTGATGGGTCATCCACCGTACAGTCCTGATCTGGCTCCCAATGACTTTTTTTTGTTCCCAAGCGTGAAGAAAAAACTACGTGGTCAACGATTTTCGACACCAGAAGAAGCAGTTGAAGCGTTCAAAACACACGTTTTGGAGATATCAGTTTCGGAGTGGCACGAATGCTATGACAAATGGTTTCATCGAATGCAAAAGTGTATCGATCATCTCGGGGAATATTTTGAAAAACAATAAAACCATTTTCGACAAAAAACAACTGTGTTATATATGTTTTTAAAAAAAATTATGGAGCAACCCTCGTATCATTTAAAAAAACACTCTACATTAGAGAAATTTTTATAAAAATTCTTATTATATCCAATTTACGAAAGAACAACGCGTTGCGTTACAAATAATCCTAGAAATAAATGAATCATAAATGTTTTTAATAGACCATTTTTTTCAGACGGAATTGTTTTTCCGGATCAGTCGAGTTCAAGCTCGAGTTGTGATTCATTTTCAATAGGTATGAATTTGGACTCATACAATGCAGCCCTAAGTAATGGAATACAATATCCAAGTGCATGTCCATGCACTTATCCATGTAGCATTTCAAATGTCTGGCAATTCATTCGATTTTATTACATCAGAGCGTATGTTTAATATTAAAAGTATAATGCTTTTGTTAAATTCACATAAAATACTATTCATATCAATGATTTAATCTATTTTAACGTTGATTTTTAGTGGAAGTTCATATTTTTATCTTCTTGATGTGAACAGCCCCAGTACATTTACATCGACAGATCGCCAAGGAAAAATCAAATTCCTACTTCATGATTTTGCAGATAGAGTACAATTCAATGGCTCCGGTTCGATTATTATTATTTTTAGATGAGATTTTGAGAATGTTAAAATATCTCTTTCTCTAAAAATCAAAGGATGGATGGAACCAGTGGGAAAACAACTTGCAAATGCAATTGATGGCCTCGTAATTTTAGTTGATTATGGAACATTAAGCAGCTGTACGTATTCTCGAGTTGTATCGGAAATCGTTCCATCGATCGGATATTATTTGGCACAATTTATTTCGAATTTTTATCTTAATGTTAGTCAAATTGAATTGATTGGTTTTGGACTCGGTGCTCATATTTCCGGTTACACGGGTTGTGCTTTAAATGGCGCCATCAATCGCATAACAGGTAATTTGATAATTATACGAAATAAATTTCGATGATAACAGTGAATATTAATTAGGGCTAGATCCAACCGCGGATAATTTCAATGGAGGCGGTTTAAATAAAACGTGCGCCTCATTTGTGCAAGTATTACACACAGATACACAAAAATATGGAACCCAAAGTTTACTCGGACATGCAGACTTTTATGCAAGCAGATATAGTAATAACCAACCTGGATGCACGCATAATTTTTGTGACCATACCAAAGCAATCTATTACTATTTTGCTTCAACGTTTTCGCAATATGGATTTATTGGGAATGATTGTGATCAAGTATGCTCCTTCTCGAGTTGTACAAGTCGCTTTGGTCTGTATAATGACGGCAAAAGTGGTGATTTCTGCTTTGGTGTGGCCACTTGTTTTCCATATGCTCTTCAAACAATTACCACAAGCACAACATGTCCATATCCATTTTCATATCCATTACTTCCATCATACCCTCTTCCACCACCAATCGCACCACCAATTCCACCAAGACGAAAGAAACGAAAACCACATCGCAGAAAACCAACACCATGCCCTCGTCGGTGCCGAAGCAAATACAGACGACATTGTGAATGTTATTCCAAAAGATAATTTAAATAGAATACACATTAGAACAATTTCAGTTCCGAGCAACATCTCCGAGGCATATTTTGAATTCTCGATGCATGTATTTTTAAAATTGTATATTGATTCTTTTTAACTAAAGATAATCAGTAAATCATTCTTTATTACGATGTATACCAGAGGTTACAAACGGGAAAAAATCTTGAACAAAACTGGCGACTACGGTTTTTTTATAATCGTCGATCTTATAAAGTATGATTCTAGTACGAAGAATTTTAAATAATCATAAATGTATTTGAAATAAAGTGCTTTTAGTCTGTATTTATTTTTCTTTCAATTTCAAAGCGGTTTTATCATCTTTTATTATATATTTATATTTACGAAATTCCATTGGGTCGGTTAAAAGACTTCCTAGTGCATCTGTAAAAATGTCCGCAATCACATCTGGGATGTTTTCAATCTTTGCAGTTTCCGCAATTATTGGATTATTGGATTATTGGATTAAAACGGGGAGTGTCCTATT